CGGATATTTACAGGTAATATTCTATTAGAATATTTTACGTATTTAAAAAACGGTAATTTTTTTAATTAAAAAGTGACAAAAATAATAATTAAAAAAAGAATTTTCAGATTCTCGTTTTATTTTGTATTTTAAACTTATTTTTAGATTGTTTTTCACAATCTTACAAAATTAGTACGTGTCAAATGAACCTCTCTTTCTTTCTTTCTTTCTCTCTCTCTCTCTCTCTCTCTCTCTCTCTCTCTCTCTCTCTATATATATATATATATATATATATATATATATATATATATATATATATATATATATATATATATATATATATTGTGGGTTGCATAAAATTTAACACTAAAATCTTAAAAACAAGAAGGTAAATTGTTACCCATTACATCTAATATAAAGGATTTAGATGGTCTTAGATTGTGATCCATGAAAATGAATTTAAACCAGTAAAAAACAAGCATTTACAATAAATCTCATTATAAATACTAAACATTCCTTCACATGTTTTTAGTCCCACTTCTCACTTCTCTCTATCTCTGTTTCTAAAAGCTAGAAGTTTTCCCGCCTCGCCATCACCAATTTCTTGCTCACTTCCTAAAGACAACCATTACCGCTAACAACCTTCGCTGCCATCCTTTTCGTAAGTTCCCACCACCCACCGCTGCCTCTTGCCAACCGATGGTTCTCTTTAAAAAAGACCCTAGGATCATTCCCAACAGCTGCCAACCATAAAACCAATCACAAGCCTCGCCACCACTTGTTGCAACGTATAGAAAGTGACACAACTCAACACCACCATCTCTTACAACACTTTTTACACATCTTTTACGGCCCGATCCAGCGCTATAGTCTGCAGGCGTCCACAAGTGTCCTTCAACTACTTCCATGAAGCACTTCTCTTCCCCGACATTTGTCTTTCATTCATCGAAGACCCTAGATCTTAATGCATAAAGCTCCTACATCATTTGAAACAATTTGATCCGGTCTATCCAAAGCCGTAGGTGTGGTTTGTTTATTTTTTTTAAATATGATTTTCAACCGTCGTGATATTTTACTAATTTTTTCTTCCATTTGTCTCTATTTCGTATATTTTTAATGCATGGATGAATGTTTGTGGATGGAAATCATATGGTCTAATTTTACGTCATATATTTATATGTGTTTTTAAATCTAGATCTGAATCAAGATATGTTTTTCTTATATATTGATTGTTTAAAGTTTCTGCTAGACTATTATGTCTATATTTTGTATGGATTTTGTAGAAAATATCTATGTTTTCTTTTTATAGATTTTGAGCAAAATGATTTCAATGCATATTTATGTTTTAAGGGTTTTGAGGAAGAAATTTATGTCGTATAGTTTAAGAACATATGATTTCAAACAAATGTAAATAAACTAGAGTTAGATACATACATTGTAAATAAAAAGAATTTCTATATATTGATATCGGTAATGTGTTGTAAAAGTTAGAAAGCTTATTATAAAGTGAAATGTGATGATTATTTACGCTTTTGGTTGATGAGTACGACTAACCAATAGCAATTGTTGTAGTGTTAAAAACGAAGAGTCCAACGAGTACGACTAGGTATAGCCATTAGGTGATCTACAAAGTTTTACAATACATAAAGCTCCTCCAACATTTGAAAAATTTTGATCCGTTCTATCCAAAACCGTAGGCGTGGTTTGTTTATTTTTTTTTAAATATGATTTTCAACCTCATGATATTTTACTGATTTGTTCTTCCATTTGTCTCTATTTTGTATATTTTAATGGATGAATGCTTGAAGATGGAAATCATATGGTTTAATTTTATGTCATATATTTATATATTTATATGTGTATTTTTAAATCTAGATCTAAATCCAGATCCGATTTTCTTATATATTGGTTGTTTAAAGTTTCTACTAGATTATTATGTGTATTTTGTAGAAAAGATCTATGTTTTCTTTTTATATATTTTGAGCAAAATGATTTCGATGTATATTTATTTTGTAAAGGTTTTGAGGAAGAAATTTATGTTGTATAGTTTAAGAGCATATGATTTCAAGCAAATGCAAATATTAATATCGGTTATATTTTGTAAAAATCAGAAAGTTTATTATAAAGTGAAATGTGACCATTATTTACTTTTGGTTGGATGAGTAGGCTAATCATTAACATAAGGCTGGAGGGAGTGGTGCTACTGAAACTGCACTCCCTCCCCCGCCACATCAGTGCCATGTCACTTCTTACCATTCAAGTGTGGTTTCTTGCCTCACCAAGAGTGTGGTGCCACACTTTCATTTTTTTTAAGTATTTTAATTTAATAAAACTTCTTTTTTTTGAACTAATTTAATTTAATATACCTTCTATTTTAATAAAAAAAAAACATAATTCTTCATTACTTGAAAATAATAAAAAAAAACAGTACATTGTGTTACCAAAAAAAAACACATACATGACATTTAAATAACCCTAGAAACTTAAAAAAACATAAATAAAATAACTAAAGGAAACTACATAAAGTCGTTCTATGTTTGTATGTTTGTTCCGCCATTTGAATACACGCAATAACGGTATCAAAAATAATCTGAAATTCTTCAGAAGATAAAGAATATGACATTTTTTGGAGAGTGGTAATTGAAAAAAAAAATTGAGAGAGAGAAAATTGTGTTGTGAAAAAAAATTAAGTTTGATATGTGTATATATATAAGAAGGAAAGAAAAAACAAAAGGAAAAAAAAAACAAACGAAATTGCATTTAACGGTCAAAAAATTGACCAACCAATCACATTCCGTGGTCTTCAAAGGCCGCACTGCGGTCTCAATGGCAGGAAACCGCACCCTGAGGGCGGTGTTTCCTGCTGAGGTGGCACCAAAGTGCGGTCTCAAACTGCACCACCGTGCAGCCTAAAGAGTCCTAGGAGTAGGACTAGGTATGGTTCTCATATCGTGATTAATCGGTTTTCTAAACTTACTGAATCTTTAATGGATTTTTCTAAGTTAATTTACAGTTTTTTTTGTTTTTTTTTTTTTTTTTTCAAAAGTCCTTATATTTTTACACGTGTTATGTAGCTTTCAAAGATGTCAAGAAACCGAATGGTTCGTCAAAGAAAAGTAGATACTTTCATGTGATACAAGGTTTATATTTTCATATGATACAAGGTTTAAATACGCACAAATCTATTTAGCTATTTATAAGTAATATTCATAGACTGTGTATTAAATCTTAACATATTTATTGATGGAATGTTTTATGCAAATTTTATAAATAATTTCTAATGTGTATTAAATTTCCAATTATTATCGTAACTTATAATATCGAGAAAGGTATAACAAATACTGGTGGAATAATAAAATGAGGAAAATGAGTTGGGGAAATAATTAACTTTTCAGTAAGTTCACATCTTGTTAATTATTTTTCTTTGTATACATCTAGGTAACAAACTTGTTGAAAGTGTTCATATAACTATTACATGTGAACACTTTCAACAAGTTCGTTACCTAGATGTGTACAAAAAAGTAATTACCCAAATATGAACAAAACGAAAAGTAAGAGTAAATTACACGAATGGCCCCTGTGGTTTGGGGGAATTTGTTTTTTGATCACTAACTTATTTTTTTAACTCAGATGGTCCATATTGTTTATTTTTGTTACACGTTTGGTCATTATCTTACCTAAAAAGACTATTGTGCCCTTATTAATTTATTTTTTAATTAGTTTTCTTATTTATGTATTTATTTTTTTATATATATAAAAAAATTAATATACCTCACATATTTATATTTCCTCATCTTTAGTGCTCAATATCATTTGATTTAATAATTGACCCAGCCCTTGTTGTTTGAAAAAAAACTCTCCACTTCAATTGATATTTTTTTTCACGAAAAACAGACATGAGATAACATATCCAGTGTTTCACTAAGATTTCGAATATTGGTTCCGAATTCAAGTTGATTCTATTTTGCCTCTTCCTCGGAGAAAGACGATCAAAAAATTCCCAATCATGGTCCTTGCGGATCGGATCATCCCTATAATATACAATGTCACTTCATCTTTAGTGGGCGATGAGATATAAATATGTGATGTCTATTAATTTTTTTAAATATATAAAAAAATAAATACATAAATAAGAAAATTAATTAAAAAAATAAATTAATAAGGGCACAATAGTCTTTTAAGGTAAGATAGAGACCAAACGCACAATAAAAATAAACAGTATGGACCATCCAAGTTAAAAACATAAGTTAGAGACCAAAAACACAAATTCCCACAAACCACAGGGGCTATTCGTGTAATTTACTCTTACTTTTCGTTTTGTTCATATTTGGGTAACTATTTTTTTTTATACATCTAGGTAATGAACTTGTTGAAAGTGTTCACATCTAGGATGTAACCTGCTACAGCCGATCATAATGGTAATATATGAACACTTCCAACAAGTTTGTTACCAACATTTGTACAAAAAAATGATAATTACCTATATATGAACTTACTGAAAAAGTTAATTACATTCCCAAGTTGATATTTTAAGTAAAAATATTTTTTTATATATTTAAATAAAATGATATTTAATATAAATTAATTAATAAACTAGATAAGAAGCCCCCGCTTCGCGGGGCTTGGATTCGACACTTATGTCAAAGAAAACCGATGGAAGACATTAGGGTAAAGATGGTGTCATCGTTTATAAGTCGTTTGTCATGGAACTATGATGCTATAATTGGTTGACTATGAAAGTATGATGCTTAAAAAATGAAATAAAGTAGAAGCCAACTGAGATATATTCTCTTTTTAAAACACATATGTTGGGTACAAAATTAATTTAACCAAATTTAGTCAAAGGCAGCACCAGCCCAAATTTCTTACTACTCCAGCTAGACCAGCTAGACCTCATGCATGGATTTTGATTCTACTGATTCCAACCTGTTAACAAAAAGAGATTAAAAAAAAAAAGTTGCCCTTTCAATCATGCTAAAATTCAGATCATGATATGGGATATTATATGAAGACTAAAAAAGTCAACAGAAGTCAAACTTTTCCACATCTGGTCTGTAATCTGGGGAAGAAGCAATTTCCCCAGGTCCTAAAGTTGTTAGTACGGTCTCCTTCTTCTTGAAGGCTGCAATTAAAGAAAAAATAATATGTTATTAAAACTAATTTGAGAAGAATCCATCAACAATTAAAGTTGAAAGATAAAATTACTTTTTATTTTACTCTTCATCAATAGTTTATATTTGAAGGTTATTGTTATTGATATCAATTAGGCTATAAAAGACAAAAGGAAATTGGTCCTTATGATAAAGATGTTAGAAGAATGACTTATCTGTATAACTAAAATCATCACACTTAAAGCCCCTGACATCAAGTAAATATTTAGCCCTAAAATCAGTTACACTTTTAGAGCAAACAAAAATTTTCATGAATTAACAATTCGAACCTAATATAAATAATCAAAGAAATGCATGGACCTTAGAGGAAAACAAAAAAACAAAGGAGAATGTGAGGCCTGACAAGAACGATTAAACAATAATCGAATGATTGAGCCACGAATCTAAAAAAAACTTAAAATCATCATTACGATTAAACAATAATCCAATGATTGAGCCACGAATCTAAAAAACTTGAAATCATCATTCATCAACATACCTCGATATCTGTCAGCACCATCCGTGTGTAAAAGTACTTACCTAGACCACACAACGGTGATGCATCAGCAGTCCATTTGGAATAATGATTCCAATAAGGAAATAAAATTAGAAGAAAATAGAGGTTGTAGAAGAGAAGCATAATCTGAAATAAACAACCAAAAACATTTTTCATCTGAAAACAATGCCCTCTGCTTATTGATGAGCAACTTCGTTGCTTTAGATATCAGTTATGGAAACCTGAAAAAGTTTGAAGTAGAAGTTTTATATCCTGTTTAACTTGGACAGTATCTGTGTAATGAACAATGATAAATTAAGCTTTTTTTGTTGGAATAGGTTCTTAATTCACTAATGATTCTAAATTTTAAAGAGTGTTACGAACTTGTCAGTATCCACAATCTTTTGGATTATCTATGAAATCAATATTTATCCTTTTGGAATGTCCAACTCTTGCAAATAAACAGAAAATAATAGACATTAGAGTGTAGAATGTAAACAATCATAAAAAGTACATAAAAGCTATAGCATAATCTTGATGTCTTGTTTTGATGATATATTAAAATGTGCATGAGATATTCATAAATCATACCTACAGGGATAAATGCGAAGTCTGCTATCCTTTGTTCAATGTCTATCACTTCCCCTTCTCAAAAACGTCCCTGAGCTTGTACGTAATCTAAAAAATAGAAGTGACGGATGTTATTAACCTGTCATTAAAAAAACCAGTTGTATTCATATGATATTATTCAACTGAAATATAAGTAAAAAGATTAAAAAAAATTCAGGACAAACCTGCTATCTTTGGTTTGACCAAGCTTGCTATCAACAATTGTTGAGTTTTCCATGTGAGGGTTGGCATGATTTATCAAATAATCACACTCTTCTTTTGACTGTTTCATAACATTAATCAGAGTCAATACTCAATGTTCAATACTTCAGTATCAATTATATGTTATGTTCCTACCAATGTTGGTGTTTATTTTTGACATGATGCATTAAGTGCAACATAATAGACAAAGCCAAGAGAATGAGACGTACAGAAAGTAATGGATAATTATGTGTGATATAGAAGCTAAAAGCCATATAAATATTATCTAGGAAAGAAGAAAGGCTACTCACCAAGATATTGTGATAAACAAAGGCTCTAGGCTTCCAAGAGAGAAATAATATATCGTCTCCACTGCCAATCCCTTTTACAGAAAAACTTTTCTGTAAAAAAAATAACAGATTTATATTTAATATATTCAATAGAAGAAAAAAGAAACGACAGCAGAGTACGGTTTCGATTTATGAGGAAAGGAAAACCATGTTAATTTACCTCTGATGATACTGCAGATCGGAAAAACTCTTGTTGGGATTCTCTAGCGGCTCCATAGGCCGTTGGTCCCTCCTTGCAACCAAATCGAATCTATGACATAGCAAAAAATCAAAGAAAAGGAATCAGATGGAATCAAACTGAAGTACAATTTAACTTTTGTTTATTCATTCAGACATTTATGCATTCAAAAGAAGATAAGACAGAGAGAGAAGATGATTAAGAGCTCAGTGAAATCTTACCCAAACGGCAACAACTATAGTCGATCTTCCCTTTGAAACGCAGTCCATCTTCCCTCTCGATATTTACAATCCTTTTTACAAACAAATTAAATTTAGAGATTGTTGTCTGCGAAACAAAATCCATGTAGAGAGAGAGTAAGCGACACACACAGAGAGACCAAGAGTTTGTCACCGTCGACGACCCACCTCCTTTCTTGCAGTTGGTATGTCATCGGTAAATGCTTTCCCTCCTGCTAAATGCTTACTCGGGTTCCTCTTGAAAAGCCCTAAAACAGAACACGTATCAACCGGAGACGATGATTGGTCGAATTTAGGGTTGTTACCGGGAGTATACACGGAAGTGAAGTCGATGGATAAATAAGGCGAGTAGAGGTGAAGTCGATGGAAGAATAAGGTGATGGATAATGAGTTCCGATAAAATTAAAAAGGCGAAGATGAGGTGTGGGACGTCAACCATCAAAACACGCAACACCCAAAATCAGACACCACCAACACAACAGACGTTGATTTTATTAAAATCGAACCCAAATAGAAATACAAACAGTTGATTAGAACGTAAATTGTGCAAGAAATCAGAAACTTACATGGACATGACTGCTGCCGGCGACAATACTTTCTTCGTCCTTAGACGGGGGAGGCAATGATTATTCTTGAAGACAGTAGAACAAAACAGGTGGGTATTAAAAAGGGAATGTGTAAAAGTTGATCGGAAGAAATTGGAGGCAAGGCCACCAGAAGGATGTAAATCAATTGAAAGGAATAGGTTATGGTGGAACCGTGGAAGGAAAATGAAAGCGATGGAAGGAACCAGAAGGTAGAAGACGGATATTGATGGTGGAGAGTTAATCTAACCGGGAGGGAAACCTGATGAACAGTGCTCGTATGTGGTAGTGTTAAACCGACCTCCTGAGATGAAGACACGTTGCTGCATGTTGGAAGACTTTGATTGGAAGTAAGAAACGGTGAATAACTGTGAGTAAAACATCTATTAAAAGGAAGGTTAGAGAAGCATATGAGTCGGTGAGGCTGATATGGACAGAATTAATAATAATAATAATGCAACTTCAGGCAAAAAAGAAGGACGAATTATGTCAATCCCTTAGCTACTTTACTGTAGCTAAGGGTAGACAATTTTAATATATTGTATAATGAAACTTATGTTAACGAACAAAAAAATATAGTAAATAAGTAATAATTTGAAATATAATAACATAACATTAGTTGCCAAGTAGCATTTATGGTAAAAAGCAAAATAGTATCATTAATTATGACATTGCATGGTAAAAAGCAAATTGTTGAAATTATATAAGATAAGGTTAAAGTTCAAAATAAATATAACAAAAGTTATATCATCTTTAACAACTTAGCATAAAAAATCTTAAATTTAGGGGTTGATTAAAAAGATACCCTACTTTATAATTTAGACATCATATATAGTTTTTAAGATATTTTTATTGGTTGAAATTACATTGCTTTTTGAAAAAGATGATTATAAGTAGTTAACTAGAGGAGCAGTCGGGTACGTATCAAAGGACCCACGCATTTTTTCGGTAGAATATCTAGTAAAAGAAATGTATCCAGCTTTCCCACTGGGAACGAGGATGGGGTCTGGATAGAAGTCAACTAGAGAAAGCATAATCCAGTCATCACGTCCTACTACATCACAAACATTCTAGTAGGAACTGAGAGATTGGTCATCTATGAAGTTTTCAAGGAGTTTGGAAAGATTGAAGATATATACATCTCAGGCAGAAAAGACAAAGGTGGGTCTTATTCCGGCTTCGTTAAGTTCAAAGGAATGGCAAATTTCAAGGAATTGGAACATGCCATGCAACACGTGAGATGCAGGCATTGTATTGTCAAAGTAAACATAGCAAAATATGGCAAGGAAAATCCCATACGTAGAAACTTGATAAACATCAATAGGATGAACAAACAGCCCCCTAAACAGTCTTATCCACCTCCATTCATCCCCAAAAATGTTCATGCAACAAACAGGGACACCAGAACTTATGCTGAAGCAGCAGGAAAAACTAGAAATATCACTTTCATTCAATTTGTCAAATGTTATTTTGTGGTTATTTTGAGTTAATTTGTTTTCCACATGTCATTTTATTAGTTTTTCTATTTTATTAAATTTCACACAATATTTTAATGTATTAATTACAATAAATGTAATAACAAATGGATATCAATTTAATTAATGAACTTATCTTTTAATTTCAAAAATTACAAAAAGTTCATTAGTTTCTTTTGTTTATTGATTTAAATTATTTATTTAAATTTAAAAGATAAAAACATTTCAATTATAATAATTCATTATTTTTTTTTATTTTCTTATAAATTCAAAAATCTCAAATATTTTGACTTTTATATTTAACTTTTTTTTAAAACAACACATGTAATCCATGAGTTTCAAAACTAGTATACGAAAAATAATATCTATTTTGCAAACACGTAAACCTCAAACCTAAACAATCTTTGTTAAAATGATCACCACCGATCTATATTTTTCTCGACTATTTTACTAGTAGTTTTATTATTGTAAGTTATTTTCAAATTGGTTTTCTCAATTTTCTAAACATCGAAATCTGTTTAACTTGTGGCTGAAGACTGTAACGTGACAAGAATCGATGATTTATTGTTACTAGTAGCATTTGTTTTTGTGTTGTTTAGTGTTTTTTGATATTTTTGTGGTGTGTTTCAATTTTTGAAAAATGAAATTGTTTTATGTTCTAATAAAAATGAGATATGTTTTAAGTTTTAGTTTTAAGTGGAAATTTTGTAACATACACATTCATTAATTGTGTATTGTAAATTATAAAAGTGAATAATATTACGAGATATTATGTAAATTTGAATGTTCAGTTCTAACAGATGGTTTTTCCAAGAAATAAAGTAAAACTATGCTTAGAATCATTCAGAATGTATTGGAAGTCTTATGAGATTCCAATTAAAAACCAAATAGTGAAATTTAATGAAAATATAAAATTTGAAATAAGTAAACTTTATTATTGAAAGTTGTAGATAATCTCGTTAGAAAAGTTTAGGCGAAAACCTCATCGAAATCCGAGTTATAATGAAGAAGTTATGACCAATCGAAGATCCACGATAAAACCGGCAAACACTATGTCGCGTAAAAAGTCAGTTTCCGATAAACCTTTTTAGCATTAGTGATCTAAATAAAAGTTATAGAACTCATTAAAATAATAAACTTTTATATATAGAACTTTTGAATTTGACTTCGTATAAGGAACTTATGATTTTTCTAAGTTTCAGAATAGTAGTACACAACTAAAAACTCGAAATAAATATCGAGCGATATTTAGCCAACACAACCTAAACGAGAATCGAATGTCTCGTCAATAGTAGTGCAACGGTAAAACGTTTGATAAAAACGGACGTCGGATGAAGAAGTTATAAATTTTTAACGGATTTTCCTGTCCCGGTCTATTAAAAATAATAATATTAAAATTAAACTCAAAATTAGCCGACGGAGTCTAAACAAAATTTGTAGAGTATAATTTTACCTACTCGTGCATATAAAGAACTTCAAAAACAGAGCTCGTATGCGAAAGTTATGAATTTCGGAAGTTTTTGGCTCAAAAATCGAGAAATTCTTGAAAACCAAGAAAAATTGCATGAACAGAACCCGTACACGTCAATCAGATTCTCGCATGCATGACCCATGTCGGATTATGATACGGCCAAAGGGAGGCCCAACCGAAGCATGTCGCGTGTTCAATGTCGTCTCCGCCTCGTGTTCGACCCGTCGACGCGTGCTGCTTCCAGATTCGACCGAAGTCGCAGCCAACCGGCGTCCGACGCGCCTCGCCCCGTGTCAGGTCCGAGCCTCTCCCTTCTACCGCATGTACCGATTCTCGTAGCCTTGCACCACCTGCCCTCCTTTCCTCTTGCTTCGGATCCGAGGCTCGCAGCTATATATAAAGGCTACGAGACCTCCCGGGTAGTTTTGGAGATTTTACCCTTTTTCACCCCCTTATTCCATATTTTGGCTATTTCCACTTCCCCCGAAGCCCCGGTATTATTTTAACACCCGAAACACGCCCCGAAGTGCCCGAGAAGCCCAAGAAATTTATCTTTTCGGTTTGAAGCTCTACCTTCGCAGAGCCCGGTTTTCAAGAAAGCTCTCGGTTTTTATAGAAGAAAGCTATTTATAGGAACGAAGTGCTGCACAAATTAGTATTTTAACCCCTGGTTATTTCAAATTGAGTTTCAATATATAGGAACAATTGTATGTTATGTGCTATATGTGCTATATGCTTTTCAGTTGTTATTATTTCCACTATTTATGATAACAAAGTTATACCTTTGACCATGTGATCAGTGAAAGGACTTATATTCACAGTGGTACCAGTATGTAGCCTCTTACCATGTAGATCATGTCTCTGTAAGAGAATGATTTCTATTCTATGATATTGGCAAATGGTTAGACAAGGCTATAAGCCTGAAATCTACCAAAATGTTAATGAGAAATTGTATGTCTTCTGTGTCATTTGGGCCGAAGCTTTATTGATGTATATCAAGTTTGGAAATTGTTATGTCTCATTGATTTTATATCTTTGAATCAAGTCATTGATTGATATGGAAAGTTTGTCACATGATTCACATATGCCTTTGTTGTTCATTGTCCCTCTTTGCTTCTGCCATATTGAAGTATATATATGGCATAACGTTATATTGTATCTATTATTGAACTCACTAAGCGTCACCGTTTACCCTCTCAATGTTTTAATATATTGCAGGCAATAAGCACCCAATATAGCTTTGTACTATTGGAAGAATTAAAATAGTCTATACTATTACTTTGTATTTAAGTTTTAGTATGTATAAAATATACAATATCTTGGGTAGTTTTGTAATAAACTTAAACTTAGTCGGTTTTATTCAGTCGTTTATAAATAAATTATCAATGTAAAATATTATTTGTGAATATGCATATAGCATGTTTCGGAGTAACAAATTGTTTTAGTATTATGAAAGTGAGGGGTCTTTCAATCATGGTATCAAAGCAGTAGTTTAAGCGA